CCCCAAAACCCCAAAACCCCAAAACCCCGACAGAATATATTTGAGATTAAATGAGTGTAATGTTAAAATTATTTAACATTGATCTTGTAGAATTAATGGAACAAAGATTGCCATAAATTAATAAAAATAGGTAGAACTTTTATCTTAAAAGATTAGAGGTTTAGAAAATTTACAGAAAATGGTAAAGCCCCTATATGATCCAAGAATTCATTACATTCAGAATGAAAATGACAAGTTTTCAGATATATCTTTAGAGAGACAAAGACTAAGCAATTAATATCAAAATGAAGGGAGCAGCAGATCAAAACTGAACTTTTATTTGTCTAAACGAAATTCTAACCATGAAGATTTTAGAGTTAAAACTGGGCAGACAAAGCTTAATCGCAATGTTTTAGAGTAACTATTTTAGATTTATTTTTTTTAGACATTTGAAAAAGATAAATACCGAGTAATCTAGTAGGTAGATGAACAATACACACTCATCAAATGATCCATGAGTTGATTTTGGATATATAAACTTGATAAAAGCAAATCAGACTGAAATTCTTTAGCAATCTTCAACACCATAGTCAAATTCAAAATCATATCTAACTATTTAGTCGAACTTCGACTATGATCTTGAAACAAATGATTATCTGATGCTTAAGGTTAACAATTAATTGCAAAGAGCAAATAAGATACTTAACATTAATCAGGAGAGCTAGAGTTATCCTCAAGATCTCAATTATTATTAGGAAAACTTTTATTCAAGAAATAACCCAGGATAGAAATTGAAGCCATTTACTTAATACTAAACTCCAAATGTTTTACTAAGTTAATATACTTCATAGGCATAGATGCTTGAATATCCATCTCAAAAAATCTAATATGTAAAAGAAATAGATATGAAAAATGATTAACTCAAATTGGAATCTTATAACACTAATTAAACTCAAAAGAGTTTTGTAAACTTGTATAACTAAAAGTAAGGAGGAAGTCTACTATTCTAAAGACCAAATCAAAAACGTTCAAAAAGTTTGGTCAAAGGAAATCAGAAACAAGCTAAAGTAGGATAGAGCTATAAATAACAATATAAGAACTAAATCAACTTAAGATTGTAATTTAAGATTATCTATTCAAAAATTTTTATAGGAAATAAATTGAAAGTTAGTATTAGAACTAAAATCTGGAATGGGTGCCTAAACAAGACTAGCCAAAAACATAGAACAATAATCATAGCATTTAGATATTAAATTCTCATCCGATTTTCCAAAAAATAAATCTTATGAGTATTCAAGTGATTTAAAACAACACAAATAGGATAAACCTCATTAAAAATCAAGTAATTTACTAGGAGGGGTAATAGAAGTAAGCATTAATTTAGCCTAAATACATTTACATAGTGATAAGAGTTTTTACTTTATTCTATAGGGCTAAATATCGCTTATAAAGTAGAACATTGGTAAGATTTTAAATCTAGGCACAGAAAATACACTAGGAGAGGAAGTAATATTCGATAAGAAATTTTAAAAACGACAAGAAAGTGCTTTTGTTATTTCTGAGATTGCCATTATATGCGAGATTACTGTTGAATAATTCTTAAATATCAAGGGATTAATTTATGAACTTGGCAATAAAAAAGATTATTTGTACTTAGAAACCCTCCTTAAAAGAAATTATATGAATAAAAAAAACCTAAGAATTTGAAGTTTAATATTATAATTTGTTGTTATTAAGAGTTCTAATGTGATTTGCGGGGTTTTGGGGTTTTGGGGTTTTGGGGTTTTGGGG